GTCTGGGGCAGGAGGTAGGACTCAGTTCTGCTGCAAAACAGAATCACGTTTGAAGTTCCCCTGCAAGGCACAAGCTCTTGATCAGGACTTATGGCCTCTCTTGATAGTGTTGGAGAGGAAGGGGGAAAGTTCTTCCCCCTATTAGCCTTAAAATCTAATTGAGGAAAATTCTGTTGCCTAGACAATGGCATATTAAAGTGTTTAGCAAAAGCAAGAATTTATAAGAAATTGTCCCTGACCTACAAGAACTAGGGAACTTAATAAATCTTCCAGAATTTTTTGCCACACTCACAATATGTCATGCTCAGAAATTGCGTTAGTATGGAGATGAGATGGGCAGAGGACTGTGGGCTCCTGGAACAGTAGGACAAGACTCCAGAGCCTTCTGGCCTCTTGAGGTAATGAGTATATCTCTCAAGTAGGCACCCAAAAGGAGACAAGGAAGGGAGATGAGGTATGTATTGTGCGTGTTGATGACCTACTTTGTGCGGACACAGAACTAGGAACCTTGACTATATAGTAGCATCTCTTTGAACCTTCACTGGTGTAAACCATCTGTGGTTTTGTTTTTTGGGTTTTTAAAAAAATTCTCCATTGGATTAAGTTTCTTAGGATGGCATATGAGACAAGCCTATTCTGGCTATCTTAAACAAAAAGCAGTATGTACTGTGTAAATGCTTCCCCAGTGTGGTAAAGAATCTGCCTGCAATGCAGGAGACACAAAAGACTCTGATTCGATCCCTGGGTCAGGAAGATCCCCTGGAGGAGGAAACGGCAACCCACTCCAGTATTCTTGCCTGAAAAACCCTCTGGATAGAGGAGCCTGGTGGGCTACAGACCAAAGGGTCACGAAGAGTTGAACACAATTGAGTGACGGAGTACACACTGTGTAAATACTGCTGGATCCCACAGAGTAAAAACGAACAGCCAACCAAAGGCTGGAGGCGGGCAGGAGCCAGGGGCAGGTATATGGACTCAGCAGTAGGTTTGCTGATGACCTCCTTAGTGAACTGACTTGTCCATGACTCAGCAACCCGAGGTCCAGCCCCTGAGTTCAAGGACAGAGAATATGATGGACGTAGCCAAAATTGGATTCTCCCCTATATGTCTCAGGGATGGCCAAGAGGATGAGGACACGTAGTTGTAGTCAAAACCTATGAAGGCTCATCCATGCCAGATTTGTGAGCTGTTGTTCCCGGAGATGCAGTAGTGGCAAGGTCTCCCAACACCAACTCCTGGCGTGGTGCTCTCAAAGCCACTGATAATGAGCAGTCATCTCTTTCACAGTAATGTCTATTTTGCTCTTTATATTATGAGCTTATAGAGCGATGTGAAAATTAATAATCAAAAGAAACAAAGTGGACTTCCCTGATGGCGCAGTGGATAAGAATTTGCCTGCCAATTCAGGTGACATTGGTTCAATCCCTGGTCTGGGACAATCCCACATATCACAGAACACCTAAGCCCATGCACCACAACTTTTGAACTTGTGTGCCTAGAGCCTGTGTTCTGCAACAAGAGAAGCCACTGCAATGAGAAGCCCACACACCACAACTAGAGAGTAGCCCCCACTCGCTGCAATTAGAGAAAGTCTGAGCAAAGCAACAAAGACACACGAACACAATTCTGTAAAGCAATTATCCTTCATTTAGAAATAAATAAGTTTAAAAAACAAAGATGCTGCACAGCCAAAAATAAATACACGAGAAGAAACAAAGTACATTAAAATTTTTTGCTCCAATAAGTACTTAAAAAATTAACCAAATTAAATCAGACCTCTGAGGATTTGTACAATCATTTTTGCCTCTTTATTAACTTCTATTGGAGTATAGTTTCTTTACAGTGTTGGGTTAGTTTCTGCCATATAGCAAAGTGAATCAGTTAGCTGTGTACATAGAGCCCCTCTTTTTTGGATTTCCTTCCCATTTGGGTCACCACAGAGCATTGAGTAGACTTCCCTATGCTATATAGTAGGTTCTCATTAGTTATCTACTTTATACATAACAGCGCATATATGTCGGTCCCAATCTCCCAGTGCATCCCACCCTCCCACTTCCCTCTTGTTGTAGTAAATAAATCTCCCACTGAGGCATCGTGAGCAACACCCCTGCTTCTCTGCTCTTCCTGCAGTTGGAGGAGCTGGGAGCCCAGGAGGTACCTGGACCAATAGGGTTTCAGATGCAGGTTTGGCTTCTCCACTGAGCTACATTTGCAGACATTTAGAAGGCAGAATGGAGGTAATAGACATTCCCCAGCTCATAGAAACTGGTGCACATTGATACTTAACAGGCCAGAGACAGCAACTGTGACTCAGTAGACAAAGGGCATAGCCCGGGAATCAGCATTTTAACAGTCAGTACAGGTGATTTTCATGGTGACACAAGTGTGGAAAGATTACAAGTCACCGCGCTGCCTTCTTCATTGATTTTTCTGTAGTTGAAAAAGTTACTTCATCTCCTGGGGCCTCAATTTCAATCCTCTGAGCACTCTGACAGTGACCCATTGTTTTGTGCCTGTTGCCTAAAGTTCCTTCAATAGCAAGTCTTTCATTCAAAAACTGGAGACTTGATTTTCCAGCTAATTAACGGGATGGAAAATTAACACTGCTACAGTACCAGAGTTTGGAGGGGCTGTGTGAGGAAGTCATAGGTTTGGGGAGGATACCCTTTACGTCCCCATCACCTACCAGGCTGGAGTAAAGTCAAGTTTTTTAACCCCCCCAAACTTCAATTTCCCCACCTGTGATAGAGTTATGATTCATATTTGCCTTATAAGGTTTTGCAAGGTCTGAAAATATTGCATGCAAAGGCCTCAGTATATTATTTTGTAAAACTGGAGTTAATATGGTAGCTTCTAGTGATAGAAGTAACAGTAACAGGAGTCATTTTTGTTTGTTTGTTTAATATTTATTTTTACTTATTTATTTGGCCATGCTGGGTCTTAGCTGCAGCAGAATCTAGTTCCCTGATCAGGAATGGAACCCAGGCCCCCTTACATTGGAGGTATAGAGTCTTAGCCACTGACCACACCAGGGAGATCCCAGGAGTCATTGTTCATGAGATTTTTAAAATCTAGCTTTGATCATTCTGTAAACCAGATAGGGAGGGTGGCTTTCCTGGTTTCTCAGTGGTGCAGAATCCACCTGTCGATGCGGGAGATATGGGTTCAGTCCCTGGTCTGGGAAGATCCCACATGCCACAGAGCAGCTAAGCCTGTGTACCACAAGTATTGAGCCTGAGCTCTAGGACCTGGGAGCCACAGCTTCTGAAGCCCGCATGCCCTACAGCCTGTGCTCCCCAGGAGAAGCCACGGCTATGAGGAGCTTGTGCACTGCAATGAAGGGTCGCCCTGACTCACCACAACTGCAGAAAAACCTGTGCAGCAATGAAGACCCCGCACAACCGTAAATAAATAAATAAACCAGACAGCGAGATCTGGCCCCGGGATGAGAGCTCATTGGAAGGCCCGTTATCAGTGGCTTTGAGAGCATCACACCAGGAGACAGTGTTGGGAAACCCTAGAGAGGGCAGTCTGATCGATACATTAACATTTGCTTTGTCCTCAAGCTTCATGCCCATGTTGACACAAGTGGCTATTAGAGGACGGTGAGCCGTGGCAGAAGTAATGGGCTGGAAGGAGGCGGCAGCCCAATGGCTGTAGCGCTTGAGGAGATAGTTTTAATCAATTGTAGGTGGCCATTAATGTCTGGGATAATGTTGGGTTGAAATCAGGCGCATTATCGCATGCAGCCCCACCCTTGGAGACGGTGTGTGTTCCCAGCTCAATGAGGAGCTCTCATGGTCTCCAAAGCTTCTCGGTGACCTCAACAGCAAGGGAGGCTGCCAGCAGGAATTTCACTGTATGATTCGTGCTGTGTGGGCAGGAACTATCAAACACCCTTTTCCCTGGAGGTGGGGGAAGCCATACAAAACCAACTGATTAAGCTGATCAGTCAGAGCTGAGAGTAAGGAGAAGTTCTGCCTCTGAAATTCTCACTTGCAGCTCTTTCTTCAGCTTTCTGAACGAGACCAGGATGCAAACAAAACAAAGGGCTGACTTGCTCTCTGTGTTGCCTGACTTTCAGGTGGCCATGATTCAGTCACATCACCTTGTTCTGTTCTTGTATAGATCGAACAGAGTAACAAGAGGGGGTATAAACAGTCATGTGTAAACTACATTATAGTTTGTCCGCTAAACGGTGCTGGGATCCCCGTCTAAGTCATGGAAATATTGTAGTTGTTCAGTCACTCAGTCGTGTCCAACTCTTTGCTACTCCATGAACTGCAGCATGCCAGGCTTCCCTGTCCTTCACCAGCTTCCGGAGTTTGCTCAAACTCATGTTCGTTGAGTTGATGATGCCATCCAACCATCTTATCCTCTGTCGTTCCCTTATCCTCCTGCCTTCAATTTTGGAAATGTTAGACCACAAAATATGAAGTGAAAAAAAGCAAGATACAGAACTGTGTACACAGTAGGAGTTCAAGCTTATATGGAAAAAAATATGCCCACATCCACCCTGAAGTAGGAAAGGGCATATAAACAGACTAACACTAACCATCGTATGGTGCCCTCAACTGTGTCTACGTAACAGTAATGAAAACTGCTTCCAGATGAGCATTTTTAATTTCCTTCTTTATGACTCTGTACTCTCCAAGTTTTACCTATTAAATGTATGTTGTTTAATTTTAAAAGTGCAAGAAGGGACTTCCCTGTGGCTAAGATACCACGCTCTCCATACAGGGGGCCAAATTCAATCCCTGGTCAGGAAACTAAGATCCCACATGCCACAGGGTGTGGTCAAAATAAATAAAACTTGTTTTAAATAAAAAAAAATAGTACCATCATCTCCCTACTTGGGAAGCAGCAATTAGTGCTTGGGGCGAAAAAAAGTCCTTCACCCGAGATTAAGGAATAAGGAACGATAAGGAAGCATGATAATGGTGAATAATGATGTCCACCATAACAATCACAGTACAATAAGACAAGCAGAACCGTTTGGGCCAGGTTGAGTAACTAGCAGTTTATTCTGCATCCTGCATCCCCAAATGAAGCAAACTTTTGCCGTCTCCCCTCTGGAGCATCCCGCGGTGGGATAATCAACAGGATGAGTAAAGGCAGTGAAGCAGGACAGCATCTCCACTAGGAAGATGCCAGCGGCAAGTGTGGCAGCGGCTTTCCCAGCAGCTACAGCTTGCATCCGTCCAACCACCGTGCCAGAGTGTCAGAGTGCTGGCAGTTGAGAGTCCAAGAGGGCCTAGAGGGAGGAAGGCCGGGGAGAGTGAACCAGAGGGGGCTCCCTATCATTGCAGCTCAGCCCCCGCTAGCCCATTGACACCCCTTGCCTGATGCCTGGAGCACTTGAGTGGGCACAGTTCTGAAGGCTTTTGTGCATCCCAAGTATGTCTCTCTCCATGGTTCCTCCAACTCTCGCAGGCGTGAGCGCGGGTGCTCCCTCCATCCGCTATACAACACCCCCATTCTCATAAACCCCACACTGTGAGATGGGGAGGCTGAGCTGTGAACTGTGAAATCCTTCTCCAGTCCTGCAAGGCATTTTAAACTTCCCTGAAGGGAGCATCGGAGAAGTTCTGTGACATGTGTGGTGAGTACTTGGCAGATTCTAGTTCTGAAATGGAAACCCCATCCCCAAGCCAGGGCCACCTCTCCATGCACCTGTTTCACCCTTCACCTTCCAAAATTCCTTCCAGCTCCTCGACCCTGCCTAGGTCAGCTGGACTGGGTTTCTCTACCTTTCCTCCTGGTGCCCGTAAACATGACCCTGCTATTCCCAGCCCCTTGGCCAGCTTCCAGACCCCATGTCCTCCTCTCTTATCCCAGAAGCTGTTGGAATCACCAGGCCAGCTGCAGACCATTAGATATCCTGTTAGTTCATCTCATCCCTTGGTCGGGTATGAGGTTCCATGGTAGGTTGTCCCACAGTTGGAACAGCGGCTGGGGTCCCCTGGCCCCTCGTGGCTACAAGGCAGCAGGGTGAGCACACAGACATATTTTCAGAAATCACAGCAGCCTCCTTAGCCCTGAGCAGGCACTGCAGATGGGACTCCTGAGGACGTTGAGGAGGAAGGAGTGGTGGCCTGGGTCCTCTCCCATCCTGTCCACACCAACTTCACAGAGCAGCCTGATCTGAGCTTTGGAAAAACCACTGCAGCTTATTAACTTAATAAGAGCTCACTTCACTGGGAATTCTGCGTAATGAGAAGACTTGATCAGCCTGGGCCAACACATTTCTACTTAGTGCCACACAACAAAGATATTTTATCTCATTAGTGCTTACCCTAGGGGGCCAGCCAAGCTTCCAAATTAACTGGAAAGTCAAGACTATGTATGAAAGATATTTCAAACACCAAAAGACAGTTAACATTAACAAGAGGATTCCCTCTTTAAAATGCAATCTATTAGTGAGAAAATGGGTTAAGGCAGAAGTGGTGTCAAGACTACCGACTAGCATTTGAAAAATACGAAGCTGGATTCCCTATCTCACTTTTTGTATCAACATAAGTTTCAAGAAGGACTACCAGTTAAGTATTTTAAAAATGATGATTCTATTTTATGATTTATTTAACAAAAACTTAATGTAGGTTATTTTGTGCTGGATACTGTTCCAGCAGAGAGAAAAACATGGTTTGATTTCTTTACAATCTTTCATCTTAACCTTGGCTCCATCTTGGTCGCTACACATCTAACTAGGAAATATATGAGACACATAAAAGCAACACTGTCCTATAAACCCTGTAAAGGTGGGGATTGGTTTCATTTGCTCAGGTATAACCTACATGCCTGGCTTAGTGCCTTGCATAGGATGAGTGATCACTTAATATCTGACTGTTGAGTATTAGAATGAATGAACGTATCAGCATATATAAATTCATCCATTTCAGATGTTTTGACATTCATGTGTTAATTTCAAATGTAGTCAAAGTAAGATCAGTGGGAGAAGGCTTCCTAGGTGATGTGTATACTCTGCTGCTGCTGCTAAGTCGCTTCAGTCGTGTCCAACTCTGTGCGACCCCATAGACGGCAGCCCACCAGGCTCCTCTGTCCCTAGGACTCTCCAGGCAAGAATACTGGAGTGGGTTGCCATTTCCTTCTCCATGTGTTCTCTAGCACATAAGCAACATGACGGGTTTCCCTGGTGGCTCAGTGGTAAAGAATCCGCCTGCAATGTAGGAGACCACCCGCACTGCTGGATATGTGGGTTCAATCCCTGGGTTGGGAAGATTCTCCTGAAGAAGGAATGGCAACCCACTCCAGTATCCTCACATGGGAAATCCCATGGACAGAGGAACCTAGCGGGCTATGGTCCATGGGGCCACAAAGAGTCGAACACAACTTAGCGACTAAACCACCACCACCACCCATCAAAAGTCACAAACTAATGGGACCTGATGTGTGGGTGAAAGTCAGGAACACAGGCTACTTACCATGCTCCCATCCCTCTTTTCCCTTTTACAATTGTCTTGGCACATTCGATTGTCTTATTTAAATCTGGATTCAGTAAAGCTGTGAAGAAAATGAAGTGGAATGATACAACGTCACCACTCGGCAGCTAAGTTAGAGTGATATCAAGGGAGCTACCAGGAGCTCAGGTTAGAGAGGGGGTTATTTGTGTGTGTGTTTTTTTTTTTTTTTTACATTTTTATCTAGTGGGAGGGTTTTTCAGAATATCTATTCTACCATATTTTCATCACAACACCCCATACCACCTCTACTACAGATAGTTGAATATTTCTCCCATTGGATTCTGGAGATAAACACACATCATCTTCTTATGAGATATAGATTACAGGCCTGTCTTCTCCCAGTGATCACTTCGAAGTGTCAAAGTGGCAGCCTCTGCTCCCCTTGAGGAAGAGAGGCAGTTATACTAGGCCTAGCCAGGGCTGCCTGGTCTCACCCCTCATGCTCCTCCCTGCCTCCTCCTCTGCCCGTCTGGACATGAGTCTCCACCGCCGCATCCCAGGCCACCAAGCCCACAGCTCTCTCCCTGTGGACTCGCCAGTGCAGCACAGCCTCCTGTGACCCCACTCTGGATTTGGCTCAATCCAGCCTCCACCAGGCCCTCCTCCTCTCAGCTCCAAACTTGTAAGCTCTGGTCATGGGGAAAGCAGCCCTCTGAGCTCAACACGGCTGCCCTCCACCCTCCACAGCCCCCAGCACGGAAGGAGGGAGGGACCTACCGGAGCAAGACACGTGGCAGCGGTTCCTGCCGTGGTCACACCAGTCATGGTTGCGGATCTGAAAGAGGCCATAGCCAATGAAGTCACTGCGCGAGTTTTCATAGACAGCCATAGGGTTGAACTTGCTCTCAAAATAAGCCAGGCACACCCCTGAGATGGAACAGACAGAGTGTGGCTCAGAGGAGCCCTGGGGAAGCCTAGAAAGGAGCTAGTGGTGAAAGAGGTGAGGAGGAGGGTTGAGAGGGGCCACTCACAGTTTTCAAGGCTGTAGCCCTCAAAATCACTCAGGCCTCCATCATGGAGCTTCTTAGCCACCACGCAGCGCCCCAGAACCGCAGTGTCACTTGGAACCACCAGGTACCCAATGAGAGACAGCACCATGGACACCTTCATCTTCCCCAGCCCAGGGCGCTGGCTGCTAGGTGAGAGGATGGAGTCACAAACAATCCCCACTGAGATCACAGGGACCCTGGCAGAAGAGAAGGGTGCTGTGAGTCAGGGGGTATACAACTCAGTATGTTCAGAAAAGGGAGAGGCCTTCCTGACTTAACCACAATACTTAATCCATCAGAGTCCCGCCATGAATAGCACAATGGCCACTGTCATATTAGATTATTCCACCAATGCTTTTTATCCTGGAATACAAATTCTGAGCTGTGGCCTTAACCTTTACACTGTCTTGACCCCAGATTTTCTACAAACAGAACTCCAGGGACCTTTTCTCTTGTCCTCACAGGGAGACTGGTCCAGTCCAGACATGCCACTGATTCATTGGAAATGGCAGAGAAGTCCCTTAGCCTCACAAAGCCTCTCCTTTCACACCTCATTCACCTTCACACCATCACATTCACCTTGCACATTTCCTTTCTTTGTACATGCCCATCTTATGTCTACCACAGGTCCTTTGCACCTGCTCTTCCTTCTGCCTAGACCATGATTTCCCCCAACCATCACAGAGCCTGCCCTTTCCTGTTCACAGTCTCAGCTCAAACAAGCTCACCAACTCAGATAGGATCACCTGCCCACTGCCCTATCACGAAAACAGCCGCTTCTATTTTCTTCATCATATATGTAAATTTCAGAAAGGTCCTTGTTCATTCATTCATTCGTCTACCTCCCCTGTGACAGTATAAGCAGCAGGCTTGCAGAAACTTGGCCTGTCTTGCTCTCTGCTTTATCCTCAGAACAGACCTTGGGACACAGTAGGTCCACAGTGAATCTTTGATGAGTGAGTGAATGAATGAATAAACAAAAACCTCCTCTTCCCAACAGAACTGTCATTGGATGAGCAGTAAGTGAGTTTGCTGATAAGCATCTCCTGCAGCCAGGGATCATCCTGCCTGTCCCAGTTCCTGCCCAAGATACACCCACTCACCCTTCTTCCGAGGCCCTTGGTGCCTCCTCAGAGGAAGGGGAGAGCAGCCACTGTGGCAGCCTTTCATTTATTGCAGGAAAGTTGCTCTATCTACACTCTGTTCTCTGGACTTTTCACTGCCTTGATAACCCATTCACCTTCGCTCAAGAGCTTCCAAACCGTAAGTACTTCTTCCTGATCTGCTTTTCTAGAATCTTTTCTATGACATCAGTTGCTATGCACCAGAATATTCCGACACAGGGAGCAGTTGGTCACCAATGCATTTGTATCAGTTTTCTATTGCTGCTATAACAAGTTACCTTCAGCTTAGCAGCTTCAATAACACAAAAGTATTATCTTGAAGTTCTATAGGTCAGAAGTCTAACAGGGCTCACCAGGCTAAAAGCAAAGTGTTGGCAGTGTTGTTTTCCTTCCTAGGGGACCTAAAGGGGATCCATTCCCTTGCTCATTTAGGTGGTTGGCAGACTACAGTCCTTGTAGCGATTATCACTGAGATCTCTGTTTCCTTGCTTGGCTATCAGCTGAGGGTCATTTCCAGCTGCTGGGGGCCATCTGCCTTTCTAGGCTTTACCTCTTTCTTCTATCTTCAAAGATGGCAAGGGTGGTTGAAAATCCTCTTTCACGTTGAATCTCACTTATCTCCCCTTCCACTGTTGTATCTCATGGACTCATTTTCTGCTTCCTCTCCCACTTTTTTTTTGGGAGTGGGGGAAAGATACTTGCTTTCCAATGCTGTGATGGTCTCTGCTGTACATCGGCATGAATCAGTCATAATTATTTATATATATCCCCTTCCTCTTGAGACCCCCCCCACCCCAACTCCACCCCTCTAGGTCGTCACAGAATACCAGGCTGGGCTCCCTGTATAGCTTCCCACCAGCTCTCCATTCTACATGTGATACTGTGTGTAGATATACTTTTAAGGGCTTCCTAGGTAGCACACTGGTAAAGAATCTGCCTGCCGACGTAGGTGACACTGGACACTGGAGATATATCAATGCTACTTTCCCAGTTTCTTTTAGCCTATCCTTCCCCAGCTGTGTCCACTTTTAAGGCTACATGTGACTGCATTGGTTCACCCAGACTCTTCAGGATACTCTCTCCATTTACATCATTTGGAGCTACCCACAACAAGCTTCTGCCAGGGGGCCTGGACTGGAGGCATGAGGGTTATGGTCATTTCTACTATGAGACATCCACACTCTGCTTCTGGGAGCATTTCCAAGGGAGCAGCCCTAGCTGGTCCCTGGGATCCCTGGAAGCTCTGATGCTATAATCCCTCTCCAAGGAATAATGCATCATCACTTCAGTAGCCATGACCTGAACATAATTTGCATCAGCGGAGAAAGTTGTAGCCTTGGGAGTGGATATTATATGAGTTTATTGTTATCTGGACACTCTCTGGGTTCTGGGAATGGACAGAGATGTGCTTGCTTTGAGGAAGGTGCGCTGTGAGACCATCCTCTTCTGCAGTCCTAGAACCAGATGTGGTTTCCTTCCCTCTCTGGCTTGTATTAATTATAAAGGTGGTGAGGGGAGGGGGTGCAGAGAATGTGCTTTATGTGGAGAAATCTTGATGGCAGCACTCTAGCCTAGGCGTTAGGCTTAGCCCTGACAGCAGTGGGATGTCGTGATCTTATATGCCACTCGTGCTCTACAGGGAAAGCTACAGACCAGCACACTGGCCACTCATCTTCTTTTCCCCAGGCTTGGTGATCCAGGCATCAATCTTTGATCTTTGGTCCCAAGTCTTCCAGCAAAGCTGCTGGGATCCCTCCTCCCACAAGTGGGGAACACCTGCGTGTACGGGAAGGCCACCTTTAGTTCCAGAATACAGAGATGTGCACATAAGTGGGATCATTCCAGCTGTTCCATCACAGCTTTGGTTTCTGTAAAGATCATTTGTCACCTATAATCCAACAGTAAGATAGATCTGGTGGCTGCAAGTTCCAAGTCTCTTACAGGAGCCAGGGTCCCTGAAATGGGGCCAGGCTCAGCCACTTCTAATTGGGGATAGGGATCCAGCCCTGAGTCCCTCAGTCTCACGGCCCTCACAGGGCTGTGGTCTCTGAGTTTTCCCCAGCCCTGGGCCTGAGCTGAACTTCTCCTGAGCCTTCCCCAGCAGATGGAGATCCATCTGCTCTTCAGACATCACCCAATAACACAATCTATAATTACACTTGTATCTGTGTCAGTATCTGCATCTATATCTATACAGTGTCTGCACACAAACATACAAAATGCCTGGAGATAAGAACAGATGCTGGCCAGTCAATCCTATAAACACTCAAGAACATTCCAGGTAGAAGTTCTCTTTGGAATGATCTAGTTTACCTATTTTCACAAGTATTTCTTGCCATGGAGCCAATCTCAAGCAGAAACCCCCCTGCCAGCTCACCTTCCTTGCTGTCTTTGCAAGTGGCCCATAGAGGCCATATCAGGGCTTGGGGAAGGAGCATCCAGTTCACGTTATTCATATCTGAGCAAGACAGAAATAGGACCAGGACCAGAACTCGGGGCCTCTGAGCTCAAAGAAGTCTGGGAATCCATTTTTGGTCATCCAGCCAAAACCATGCCTCCCTAAAAGAACCTCAGTAGTGTTTAGGCATTGGCAGAGACCCCTGGACTGCAAGGGAGGTGGCCCCTGTCCCTGGCCTACAGATGGGTATATGACCCAGTTCTGACCAGTAGGATGTAAGGGGAAACCCACTGGGGAGAGAGCTTCTGGCAATGATTTCCCTTTGGTAACAGAGACAAGGAAGGAGAGTGTACCATTCAAGGCCACCCTGCTTCCCCCTTGAACTTAGCCACCCAAGGCATGATGCTGTTATTTGACATGAGAGGACATAGAAAATGACACAGATACCAAATCAGAGCCTGACACCCCTGATCCCTGAATCACTATCAACAGCCGCCCATCTCTAGGCTTCTTATGCAAGAAAAACAAAGCTGTGTGGCATGAGCCCCCACTTTGTCACACTTGTACTTGCTGCTGAAAGCATCTCTGACAGATTCAAAGGATCTGTGTAAATCTGCCACAGGTTTATTTTCAAAGCCAAGCATTTTTAGCTGTGGTGTTGCTTGCCTAGTTTCAAAGAATATTTTAAAACTTTATCTGAAATGGCATCAGAAAGAAAATAGCCCCACTTTTGTCTACTCACTGAGCACTTGTCTGAGGCAAAGTGTGTTTGCAGAAAGGGGGAGGGAAGAGGAGGTGTTCTCTTTTATGAAGAGTCTTCTAGTTTCCCGCGTAGGATAAAGCCTCCCTCAGCTACTGACATGGAAGGAGAAAGACCTCATGGTGAGCCAAGAGAGACCCTGAGCAGGGAGCCAGCAGGAGACCCATCATGACCTTGAGTCTCAGCATGGGTGGGGGGTGGGAAGCAGCCACCATTCCCATCCCAGAGGCTTGGGACACAAAGGAGATGAGGAAAACCAGCAGGAACCACCTCACACTAAAGGGCCCTCCTTGGAGAAGGGAGGTAGAAAGGCACAGAGCTGTTGGGTTGTTAAAGAAAGGACATCCCCCAGACTCATGTGGTTGGGGTAGGGTGACCAACTGTCCCCATTTGTCTGGGATGCAGGGATTTCTAGGGATTTGGGACTTTTAGAGTTAAAATTGGAAAGTCCTGGGTGTGGAGCTTCTAAAAAGTAGCTCCTTGTGTACATGAAATACTCATGAGATACATATGCAAAACACATGCGACCTCCTCATCTTTCTAGCCCCCAGCACGATGGGAAACAAGACACAGAGACAGCCTTGCCTGTTGTTGGGGGGTTCAGACTGAGTTGTCTTCAGTAATCCCATGAGGTCAGAGGGAACAGAGGCAATGAATGAATGAATGAGTAGATGAATGAATGAATGATTTCAGTGGGGTAATTACTTATTCGTGCTTTGAGCACGATCATTTTCCACTGATTGACACTCAATTCCATCCATTGACAAGCACTAGTGAATCCACTGCCTCTTACAGCAAGGCCTCTTGGGACACTCAATTCCATCCATTGACAAGCACTAGTGAATCCACTGCCTCTTACAGCAAGGCCTCTTGGAGCAAAGAAAACCAATTTGAAGCCATGAATCCAAAAAATCACATCCACAGGCATTTCATACTCATACTTGCATTTTTCTGCCTTGGAGGAAATTGCTTTCCGTTTGAAGAGTTGACAAGAGCACAGAAAAGATGACTTACAATCTAGACATCTGTGCCCAGTGCCAAAGAAGATGGGCCCACGGGAAGTACTGTGATGTGGAGACGGCCAGAACCTCTTCTGGGGCCAGGCTCTGGTGTATACTGTACATGCATGCTAAGTCGTTTTAGTCACATCCAACTCTTTGCAACCCTAGGACTGTAGCCCACCAGGCTTCTCTGTCCATGGGATTTCCCAGGCAAGAATACTGGAGTGAGTTGCCATTTCCTCCTCCAGGGAATCATCCTCACCCAGGGATCAAACTCCCATCTTTTTTGTCTCCTGCATTGACAGGCAGGTTCTTTACCACTAGCTCCACCTGGGAAGACCTTGGGGGCAATGGCTTATATGGGTCACATCATTTTATGTTCCCAATAGCCCTGAGAAGTGGCTCCATTTTACAGAGGAGGACCCAACACTTCAGGATCTGGGTAGCCTGCCTAAGGTCACACCAACAGTGAGTGGTGGACCCCAGGTCTGTCTGACTCCCGAGGCCATCATCCTCTTAAACCCTCACGCTGCTGCTGTTGTGCTCCGGGAATAGAAGACCTGGGTGAGTCCTGACATTGCTGCTTAATAGCTGTGTGACCTAAGACAAGATGTTTCACTCTCCAAACCTCAGTTTCTCTGTCTGCAAGATGGGGATAGAAGTAATGCTGACTTCATCAGATCAGGTTGTGTGGAAAGTTCTAGTCCATAAGAAGCCCTCCGTGAGTTCCAAGGATGAAGGAGAAGCGACTCCAGGAGTGCAGCACAGAGGTGGTGTGAGTGAGCCAGACTGGCAGTGAGGCGAGCTGGCAGGCAGAGGCTGTAGGCCGAGGGGTGAGACCGGGGGACATCTACCCTGGCTGCACGTCAGAGGCATCTGGGGTGTCACACTACAAACTAGGGAGTAGGAGCTAGTAGGTCCTACAGGACCTACAATCTGAAAGTAGGGCCCAAGCACTGGTATTTCTACAACTCCCCAGGTGCCACCGGGGAGAGTGCTGCCAGAGTTGAAAGCC